GAGAAACTTCATATTGCACGTTTCTCAAAATGCTGGAGGCAACTTTCTTCTATTGTTACAAAATTCGTGAAGGTTAGTGTATGCTAATTTTTTCTATGCCTCATAACGCTGTTAATCATAGATGTCCTGAGCCAACAGCTACTGTGTTAGGTATGCACATACACCCAAAAAAGTATGCTGCTTATAAAGGTAAAATGACTATGACTAGGTATATGTATCTATTTGTATATGTATTTAAGCCAGATTCTAGCCTCCTGTTTAACGCTTCAGAACAGGGATCGCAACCCCTCAAGGATGCTCTGCTGCTTCATGGCATCATAAACAAAATGGCTCTGGAGTTCAGCATAGCTCTGACATTTTGGTTTTAATGCCAATAAACAAGAAACCCCCCGTGGCATGCTGACTGACTTGTTTTCCTCAGCAAAGCTGTAAAGACCTGTAGTGTACTTACAGAGTTACTGTGTTACTTTCTCCACCTTACTAATTAAAATACAGATTTTTGGCTATAATAAATGTTTTGGGGGTTACCACCATACACAACATTATATGCTTTTGCTTTACATCTTAATCATGCTTTTTCTTTAGCTGAAGGCTATGGAGCTTCAGTTACTGGAGATAGCAGCTAACACAAAATGTACTGACTGAAAGCTGAAAGGGTTAGGGATTTTTTGTGTATTTTCTTCTTTTTGTTTTTTGATTTGTATGAAACTGAGCTTTGGGTGCATAACAGGATTTTTGCAGGTCTGACTGAGAAGGCTGTTGGTGTGCAGTTCTGCCAGGTAAATCTGTTGAATTATCTACTCAGGAAAACAAGCTGGTAAAAATGAAAAAGCTGGGGTTTCATGGCCTATTTCTGCTGTAAATACATCTTCATTAAGTGTACAGTCATCCATCGTCTCTGGCTTAGAGTGATACCCTGGGCATTGCTAACAAGTAGGGTCATTTCAGGAGTTTTCTGGTGTCTTGGAAAGGGAGAAGATGACATGAAATGGAGTTTCATTTTCTTAGTCTTAATACCTGATGTGTTGGACTATCCCAGCATTACAGACTGCCTTCCCCTCCTTGTGAAAGCAGTGAAATGGCTTGAGGTCATTTTGGGTCTATATGGCAGGGAAGAATGAGCAAACTGGACTGTGTTGGTCAGTGGCAGTAGCTTTTTTTGAAGTAGGGTTGTGCTTGCAAAAGTGATTCTTTTTGTCGTAGGCTAAGCAAACTTGTGACCATGGAGTCCTGAAGAATCAATGCCTTGAAATTTGCCCAACACCAGCCGGTCCTCTACAGGAGAAAATGCTTTTTTCTCAATTATTTGTTGCATAGTAAGTATACCAGGAGAACTCAGGATTCTGACTGAGACAGCAGCTAGTTAAATTTAGGGGAAAACAGCAAAAAACCCACAGAAGTAATGAGAGAGCAGCTTAGAAACACAGAAACCTGCTGTCATGGCCTAGCCTAAAGGCAGATCTGTAGGCTCCTCAGAGCTCCCCTGGAAAACAAATCTAAGACAGGCAGGGCTGTTCTAAAAATAATGTGGAGTTTTATTTACACAACGTATACAACAGGTATTCGCAGAGGCACTGAATTTCTCTTTGGAATGCCTGAGATTTGACTGTAACCCTTAATCTGAGTCTCCCAGTGTGCACTGCACACACAAAATGAATGTACCTTCATCTCTCCAGCATAGGCTTGGCTTAGTTTGTGTCATAAACCGATCAAGCTTGTTGAAGTTATGGGCTTAGTCCTACACTCAAACGACAACTGAGTTCAATGGGAATTTTACTATAGGAAGGATCACATAAAAAGTTTTGGTATTGGCCCAGACTCAATCTGGAGAAATGCACATCCCTCTTACCACTGAAAGCTTAAAATCCTTGAATCTGGAATTATACAAAGATCTGATGGGTCTTCTTTCATGTCCTGAAGAAGAAGGGTAATGCCTCAGTGTGCTGGTGACTTGAAGTTCATTTCATCTCAAGAACCTGCAGTTCTGGCAATATCTATGTTGTGACTGCAGTGTGGCACGAGAGTGGGGATGTGTGTGAGCGGAGGCAATTTGGGACATGTAAAAGAAACCTGTCTTACACATGTAATGATTTGACTTATTCCTGCACAGCGGGTGTGGGATTTCACGTAGCATGTGCTCCAAAACTATTTGCATAGAAACCAATACGAATGAATGGAGTCTACCAACTTCTACTTTGGACAAAAGTGTTCACTAATTTCCAATACACACGAAACAGGTAAGCTTACCCTCTTGTTTTTAATTACTGCTACACCACTGATCTTCATTGCTGGCTTAAGATTTTCTTGTCAGTGCCAGGATACATTATTTCCATCCATCCCTACTTGATTCTCAGACGTTTTAAGGAATGAACATGCATATTGTTTGTTTCCAAAAAGCAACATAGATCTATCTTCTGGGGGTATTAGTCTACACACTACAAGGGAAAGCAATGCTTCTTTGAATACATCTCACATGTCAGACCACGCTGCAGGTCCTTCCACACATCCCGAGCTCTAAGTGATAGCTGGATATTTATGAGAGATTTGCATGTAATAAACATTGCCCAGCTTGTGCATCCTTCCAGTACAGCTGAAGTATTACAGAAGCCAAAATGTTTTCTCTTTTATTTTTTGCTGACTTTTTTTTTTTTGGCCAGACATTCCTGATTTTATGATTTTATGTGTGTGGAGATGAAAGTACCAGGTTTAAGCAATGCATTTTTGCTGATAATATCACAAGTACCTTAGATTTGCTCTTGTGGATGTTGTTTTAAAATTCATTTAAAAGGTAAATACCATATTATCTGATAGACAAGTCAAATGTTTTTGCATCCTGGGGTAAAATGTCAGAGATTATAGAAAATGCCAACCTGTGAATATAAAATTCTACTGATGAGGACAACATTAAATATCCAGGATTTTCTTTCAATGTTTTGCCGACATATGGTGCTTCTAACCCAGTGACATATTAATTGACTAGATTTAAAAGAGATGGACAGTGCTTAGCAAGGAAGGACAGGATAAGCATTATAAGACAGCTGGTTCTGCCTCTGCTGGGTTATGGAGACAGTATACATTGGACAACTAACGAGTCTCTGTTGCATAAGATAGAAACTCCTTATAATAGAATTGCATGCTTTGTCTCTAAATGGGGTTATTATACAGACCATTGCACAATGTGTGAAGAGCTTGGTTGGCCCTTATTGAGGGTTAGGAGAGAAATAAATTGGAAAACAATTGCACGTAAGACCTTCAATCCATCAACTGCTCCACATTTATCCAAATTACCATTGCACTCTTCCAAAATACAAATCTGCTCTACATTCAGGGGTAGAATGTTAATACTGACCAGATAGATTTTGACAAGGCAGATTTTTCTTATGGTGTCGCTTTTAACTTGCGGCAAAAACTTGTACCTACAGGAATAAAAGGTAGTAGCAGAAGCCACTTAAAGTGACATAACAACTCTCCACTGAGAATGAATTCTTAGTTTAATTTATGTTACAATGCAAACTCCAGCCTGAGTCTCAGGAGGCCTCTTGATTACTGTAGAGATGAACTGTGAATAAATCACTGCATTTATAAGGGGCTAATCCCCAGTAATATTCAAAATTTAAGGGCAATGTTTATAAGGTTATTCGTGCTTTGAAGTGCATTTTTGGGTCCCCAACTTGTGACCCTTCAGATTTTCAGAAGGTGCTGAGGTCTGAAAACTGTAGACTCTTTATGCTAGTACAGATTAGACAATCTGAGCAGTTTATATGTTCAAAATAACAAATCATTTTTGAAAATACTGACTCAAGCACTGAGTAAAGTCAAATACAGCTTTTCTACGTGACGTTAAGGCTCTTTTCTCACACCAACAGGGGAATCCTATGGTAAGAGTTGCAGACAGAGCTCCCAAGAAAGTCAGTAGAAAGGGGTTTTGTCAAAGCCATTGTAAATAACCACATATCCTACCTCTTACTTGTCATTTTTGTCCTCTTCAGTTAAGAAATCTTAGATCTTTTGCCTGCTAGTCCAACTTCTAGTCAAATACCCCATCCTTTTCACTTCCAGCTCTCTGGGTACCACCAGGATCTTATTAAATAATGTTAAATAATAACAGTCTTAGTCTGGCAGGGTAGATGATAAAAATATTGAAAAGTGCAAAGCTGTGAAGGTGGCTTTGCTCAGTGCTTTATTCCTCAGATTAAAAAAAGGACATCCTCAAAACACAGTTGAAAGCAGTCTTTCAATACTGAAATCCGCAAGTTGGTCCATAGTGTGTTTTCCATTCGGGAATCGTTATACCCAATTCCCACAAGTATTGTGCTCTGACATGAAGGAAGAGCAGACACATGACAAAGAGAAATTATTTACTGGTAGTGGTGCTAGTCATAGTTGTTATTATTTGTCCTTCCCTCCCCTTTTCCAGGCCCCCTTCAGTTAAGGTGAAGGGTTTATATTTATATGTTTGTATGCGTATATATACATATATACACACATGTATGTATGTATTTAGGTGTGTATGTTTGTGTGCTTTGCTGTATTCTGTTTGGAAGAAGGAGTGATTCTTTTGTACAGTCCTTGCTGAGATTTCTGCAATCTGGTCACTTCCTATTGAATGGAGCTATGATCCTTGATGTAAAGCAATGTGGCTCATAAGAAGAAAGATTACAATAAACATGGTTACTAGTGATTAATTTCCCACCTTGGCTACTTTTATGTTCTCTGTGGTAAAGCGTGCTCACTGATGGCAGAGTTTAAGAGGATTTCATTCGTTGTTCAAGCTAGCTGGATGTTTCTCTTAATGAGCTCTCCCGCTGCTATCACAACAACTTTAAATACCTTATGGCTAGCGAGGAAAGCCTGACACACAGGCAGATTTGTTTCTGCAAATATCTTCCTGGTTTAGTTGCGTTTTTCAGTGCGGTTGATTTCATCACAGGTTGTGCTGCTGCTACAGTAGTTTCAAGTACGAGCATTTATGTGTGCTTTTCCTTCCTTCTTTTCTTTAGGAAAAGGAGAAGCTATATGTGGAATTGAAGCATGTCTTGGCCCGACAGCCTGGGCCTGAAGCAGCAGAGCAGTTGCAGCTCTACCGGCACACCCTCCGAGAGAAGACAAAACAACTGAAAGTAAGAGATGTCCTAGGTCTCTGGCCAACAGAGTCAGGGCTGTAGAGTTGTATCCTTGGTGATCTTGGAGAGCCAGGCTTTAAGAAGACCTTCAAAGTGCATGCCTTAGCATGTTAGATCAGGAAAATAAGGTTAATACTACATCCTCCCCTAGGGAGAACCAATAGTGGTAAAATAGCTTTTTGTCACATAATGTTTGTTTGTTTCATTAAAAAAGAGAAAAAAATCTTATTAGAATATTAATATGCAGCGTATTGCTGTGAATGCTCTATGTGCATGCATATTCTGGGACACAATCCGTTTTTGGTTGAGCTTCTTCTCCTTCCCTTTTCTTAAATTATTAAGATCTTGTAATAAGCAAATCAAAACCATTTCATTTTCTTTTAACAAGCTAGTGGAAATATATTGAGAAAACTAACCTTAAATTCTTGTTATTTCTCCTGCAACATATACACATGTGTTAGACTTGCAGCCTTTTACAGGGATAACAGGAGTAACCTGTCCTACCCCCTTGTCATCACAGGAAGGATTTCCTGGTTCTGAAGGAACCTTATGGAAAACTTTGAAAGCATGATATTAAAAAGTGATTCTATGATAGAATGAGTTTATCTTTTCTTGTTCTTGTCTGCATGAAAGATCACTCTCCCGAGGAGTTCATCTGCTTTTACAGCTCCTTTCTCTGTTGAAGTCATCATCTCCTGTTCACTGCATCATAATCATGTCTGTACTAACCATGAGGAAAAAAATGCAGGAGCAGATGGGCCCTTAGGAAACAAAAGAGCCTGTTATGCAAATCTTCTTAGCTTTCCATGGAAGAGAAAAGCAATGTAGAAAATGTAAAATAGAAGCCAAAATTTAGCTAAATTGAATGTGATTTGAAGTTTTCCATATGGTTCCCATTTGTCCTTAATGCAGTAAATTGCTACTGTGTATTTCAGGCACAGTATGCTGTAGCGTACTGGTGTGCCTGTCATTCTATGGTGCCAGGTCAAGTTTTTTTCCTTCTTAAAGCAGGAGAGGACGCTATGCTTGCTCCTGCTGTCTTAAAAGTTTATTGATTTACATGGAAGCAGCATTGTATTCCTATTTGCATGCCTGAAACTACTTCGCTTATGTGACTTTAATTACTTCAGATAATAAAGTGGATTCCAGTGAATAAAACCCATTAGTAGAGTTCCAGTTTGCTTTCCTACATGCAGGTCTCACAACGTCTGCATGGAACAAGTATGTAAGATGATTTAGAAAGGTGGTGCAAGAGCTGTACATTAACATAGTCAAACATGATGGCTTTTCATATGCTTTTTAAATCGACTGTCAGTTAGAAACATTAATAATGATCAGAAAGGCAGATGGTGGAAAGATTTCTCAGTAATAGTTGCTCTATTCTTTGAAAGTCTAGACACTGGTAGCCTCTTCCCTGGTTGGTTTAAAAAAAAAAAAAAATAGAAAGCACAACTCTAATTCCATTGCAAGCATTTAAGGCATTTTGAAATGTCCAGTTCACATTATACATCACAACTTTCAAATCTGTCTTGTTATACTGGAGCACTTTCATTTTAAATACCATAGTTTTCTTCAAACTGTGCAAATCTGCCATTACTTTGCTTTTGCTGTTGTACATTATTTATATCAGAAATGCGAAATCAAGATGTTGGAATGCTAGGAAAACATTACTTGTTAAAAATGAACGCTCATACCTTTTTAAAGTTCCTGCCTTATTATTTTTTAAGCCTTTCATTTTGTGTTTTCATCTAGATTTGTGTCCTAGAATGTTAAGAACTAATATATGTATTAATAATACCGTTCCAGTGATGCTTAGGGTATATTTTGCATGTTTTATTGTAGATAGATAGCATAGACTTAATTTTGTAAACTGTCCTTAGAGGGGCAGAGATGGTCAAATGAAACATCATGATGAGATGATGATGAGGAGATATGGTAGGAAATGATGACGCCTTATATGGTCGAATGAGAAAGGAAGAAGTGCTTGTAAAACTTACTTGTATGTGAAACTAACATCTTCTGTTTCTGCTTTTTGCCTTTCATTTGTTAGGTTTTGTCTTCAGAACTGAATATGTATGAATCACAGAGCCAAGAATACAAATATCAAATTGAAAGACTTGCCAACGAGCTTTTGAACATGAAAAAGAAATATCTGGCTCAGAAACGCAAGGAACAACAGGCCATGTATGGGGCAATGATAATTTTGTCTATCCATCTCTCTGCATAAGCCTGATTTTTTTTTAGATTCTCTGTTACCCTTTTGGTCAGAATGTGGCCAAATTTGACTGAGGTGATAAAGTTTTATTGTCTAATTTTCCTGAATGTTTCTCTTCATATTACTTCAGTCTTATTTAGATGTCCTGATCCGTGGTCAGGACAAAAACATCCAGTAGCAATGTTGCTGTGTCTGACATGTTGTACAGTCCAGTTAAATTATTCATGCCAATGAGGTGGTGCCCAGAGGACACAGAATAGTGTCTGGTCTCTCACATCTAATGAGAGATCCTCAAACACTATAAGGACCTCAGTGCATTATACAAGTTGGTATTAATATGAAATACCTTATTAAAATGAAGCACCTTATATGGGGGGACAACCTTTTGTCAGATGGCAACTGCCTAAACCTGATATAAAAATAATGTCATTGTTGGGACTGATGATATCCCCTTCTGAGGCTGGGTATCATTACCAGTGGTTGCAGAGGAGAAAGGCATTTCCCGTCCACTTCTTGTTCTCTTTCTATACTCAGATGGAGGAAAGTGAGCAGTGCCCATAGACTGGCTTTGTTGGGCTTCCTACCTGTTCAAGGGGAGGGTGTAATAACTTTCCTGTAGGAATTTCTTGTCTCTACTCAACCGGTGGCAGTTTGATGGCACCTCCCTGTCACTCAGTCCACAACTGAGCATTCAGCTGCTTCTCTCAATTAAAAGAAAATGAATAGAATCTTAGTTGCTCAACTTGTGATCCATTAAGGTGACCTAATTTGAACAGGCTGAGAGATGAGACTATTCTGATAATAAATCTCCAGGCTGGGCCATGAAAATTACTAGTCACTTCTGAAAATTTGACTTTTCCTTCTAAAGAGAAGTTTGTCAGATTTCTGCAGTCAGATGATATTCTTATCATTTTCTTCTGTGTATGCCTTTTGTCTTTCCACTCCTTCTCTTCCTCAGCCAATCCTGTTCTCACACTCACCAAGAACCACAGCTCTGTGTGTTGCTGAATGTAATTCAAAACTGCCTGTATCAATTTCTTTCTTAATCATATTTTAGCCAGGAGTTTTGATGACTGAATTAGCAAAACAGTCAGTGATAAACAGTGACCTTTGTCCATCTGCAAATTGCATAAGATTACCCTAATATTTGGAATTAGCAACAGCTGTGCAGTGCTAATGGCCTTCCTGGAGCTCTAGGATCAATACATGAGGCTACCATCATGTCTGGTAATCCATTTCCAGCAGCTAAGTATCCTCTTCACAGTAGTTTCAGTGTTTGCCTTTGGATCCTGGCTCCATGTTTCCTTCTGCTCATCCAATGAGAAGAAATTGTTATAAATTGTTATATCTTGCCTAAGTTAATTCCTATCATAACTATTGAATAAAACATCTTGTTGGGGACATAGAAGCTTTAAAAAACCCCCAAAATATTGTGTGAGATAATAGTGATTGAACTTGGGTCTGCTAACTATCCACAGTGAGTGGAATTTCCTGGTGTAGGTCAATTAGTGCCAGACTCATCACACTTTATAGGTTCAGGATAGGTATCTGCCTTTAATCCGGTTTGACAGGGTGTTGTTCTGCTTGTAGGCAGGCATGGTTGCAGTCCTATGAACGTGATATCTTTGTGACACCTGTGTTTTGGAAATATATCCACATACTGTTGGTGATGCTTCTTCAGGACCATAGCATCTCCTTCCTCCTACCGCTGGCCCAGAAGCTAGCAATGCTGCATCCTTAGCCCTGGCTCACACGTCTGCTCTCTGTGTTGCTGCCAAGAGCCAGCCAGGTGCTGGGCTTGTGCTCTGGTCTGTCCCTCACTGTGGGGTTCCCCAGAGAGACCTGTTAGGCCACATCCTGCTTTAAAGGATGTGTATCTCCCAAGGCATAACCCGGCACATCAGTCCCAGATAACTGCAGCTTCTGTAGTCTCCAGACTCCTGTTTGTGTTGCCCAACAGCAGTGCAAAGGAAACAGCCTTGTTACGCAGCTGTCCTCCTCCAAACTGCTTTCTATGCATGGCATTTCCTTTGCTTTCTGCAACAGAGAGAGCCAGTTCTGCAGGCAGACCCTTCCCCAAGCAGTCTTTCGCCCCCTGAAGTGCTGCCATTCTGCATCGTTCCCAGCCTCAGGCTGTGTTGTAAAGGCATAGCCTGGCATGTAGACACTAGCCAGGGAGCCAGGGGCATTTGATTCTTATAATCTCAGGTTGTTCTAAATACCAAATGACAGGTAACCATTAACTTGATCTCTCTCATGCTGGCTAATGTTAACACCATGTCTGAAATAAATGTGGCTGGTTTTGTTGATAAAAAGAGGATCCTGTAAGGACAACAGCATTAGCAGCATTATTGACTGCACTGGTATGAAGGAGAATTTATACTCTCAGATAACCCTACACAAAGGTATCATCTAAAGCTTTTATTGATTCACACAAGACAGTTCTGGTTTGTGATTTAAAGTCTTGATACTGAACTAATGCAGCTTTCCGTGGGATGCTGAAGGAATATAATAAGTGACAACAGGAATTTAGCTTTGTTTTAGGTTCAAGCTGAAAATCTAACGTTTGAAATTTTGGTTGTGAATTTGGAATCCTCTTTTTCTTCTCTCTGATTCTGGATGTTGACTTTCCCAGGTGCTTTGGCACTCTTTTCCTCACTATCCCCATTCTTTCATCTGCTGCTTCTTGCTCCCTTTCTGCTTCATTATTTTTCCTGGTTGCCTCTAGCATCTGGGTTTCAGTTTGATCCTAGTAAGGACTGGTAAGAAAATATGAAGCTAGCTTAAATCTGCACCAGAGACCTGATACTGCAGCCCAACCCATGCAAATAACTGTACTGAGTAATATCAGTAGTAACTGAGAGGTTTTGCACCTGGCTGCTTGCACATTAATTCTGCATAATGTGTCACAGCTCTGGTGCACACAATTTTCCTTACCCGTGAGCACCTGTGTGGGCTGTCTCCATGGGAGCTTGGTGCCAGAATGGGCATGAACTCTGGACCCCTTTCTCTCCCCGAAGCTGGAAGTCCAGTGGTGGGATGGGATGAGGCATCTAAATCTTAGTGCTGACAGCTGGCACTTCCATTGGTTCCACACAGGTGTTGTTTAAAACATTTACAAATGATTTTTGTGTTTAAGTTCATCTGAGCCATCTTGCATAGCTAGTCATCATACAAGGTTTCTCTGAGCTTCCTTCTCAGGGACAAAGTGGAAAACACTAGTTCTAGGAAGTCTTTTCTGGTCCCCTATGGGGGTCTGAGGACGCTAATCAGTCAAGACTAGATTTTGCAAAAGCCTTGTTGCACTCATGTTTGTATCTCAGTCGCAGTGCCTGTAAAATAAAAGTAATGGTACTGACCTCCTTTGTAAAGCCTTGAGACCACTACTGTTACGATAAACTGGTACTTCCTAAAGCCCCACTTGGTTAATTATAAATATCTCAAGACCTGTCTCTGAAACCTCCGGGTAAATCACAGCACGTTTGAAATACTGTCCTTTATGTTTGTTCTGCTGTACTTACCTCACCAACCTCATTAGAGCAGAAACGGCTACATTCTGTTCTCTTAAGGCCACCAAATTCAAGCTCTCCTGGGTCCTCAGACAGAGCAAGTTCCTGGGGCTATCAGGGCACACACAGCACCGTGTTAGTTTTCTGCAAATGTAGCAGGCAGGATAATTATCACTAGAACTTTGTTAAAATGTTAAGACTGATAACAGTATTTATTCATTAGCATTCAACAGAGGAAAAATATCTCCCCATTGCGCCTTTGATGAATGTAGCTGTTTGTTTGAAAACAAATGTATACTTGCCAGAATGGGATGATGATTAGAAATCTGAAGTCAGGGAGCTCAGGCACAAACTTGTTCTAATGAGTGCTCTGACCATTTTGGAGATTAGCATTAAAAGAGCTCATTTGTTTCTAATTTTTAATAATTCCAAAAAACATCAGTAGTCTTGTAATGAGATCCAAACAGACACCTAGTCTTGGTGGTTTAGCCTAACAGGCTTTAATCAACAATTTTTTAATGATCTCTTGGTACATGGTTGCATCAAAGAAACTTTAGAGGACACGGATTTCCTGAGTTTCTAAACATCACGGGGTAGTTGGAATTAAAAATAATTTTTTCCTTTTCTTTGTTTCTATTTCAAGGGAGAAGGAACGATCCTTAACTGACACGGAGTCCGAGTTTCCACGGCACAGATCTGATGTTCCTCGCTTCACTGGAGGGGGCTTTGCTCTCAGCAGACCCTTCCCCAATGTTACAGCTTAGGAATGGACTCATCTCGTTACATTCCCGCTCCCGGTTTCTTGCTAAACTCTATTTCTTTTGTGATGTTTGGCATTTGATAGTAGAATTAATGTAGTTTTGGTATACCAACTGTGGACCAAATTCTGCCCTTATGATGCCAGCAGAAGCCTACAATAGTGGAGCTGAACCATGGAACCCGTGCTGATATTTCTTCTTCAATACTGTATCACTTTATGTAGCATTGTAACACCACAAAATGCCTTAATATGTAGTTATTTCCCCTTTATCTACCTCTGTTGCAAGCACTTGCTCCGTTTATCCTCTGAGTCAAAGCATCTAAAAGGAATGAGAAAACAGAAAAGAGGAAAAATTAATAACCAGATGTTCCCAAGCCCTACTGCGCAAATCCAAAATTCACAACTTTTTACTTAGATCTACACATGTAACAGACCTTTGTGCAGGTAGCATATAATTTGGTTTATTCAGTATTTGCTACAGTTTTTAGTAAGATCAAGGAAGTCTGTGGCCACAATGTACAATATTAAGAATGCGATTCTGTTTAGTCTGATAAACACAAAATGACATAATTATGTCTGTTCAAACAGGGGAGACTATACACTCTGTCTAGAACATGCTGTTCTCCCATATGAATCCTTCCTCCTGATTGAAACCTGGACTCAAAACATGGCAAACTTTACTCCTTATTTTCTAGGCACTTGGGCATTTTTGTAACTTTAGAAATTGTTTTTGTAATACAGCAGGAGCCCTCCAACCTTTTCAGCCAAAAGAGATTTAATTACCATTCATTAACAAGTGAAATAACAAAGTCACTGCATGAGGTGCTGAAGTATAGAAAACTTTCTAGCTGTAAAATAAAGTGTTTTGAAACTGATTTGTACATGGAAGCTCTTTCCCAGCCTGGGGGATAAAAATACTTGTCCAAAGAGATAAGCTGATAAATATTTCACATGCACAAAAAACCCTTTGCAAAGATTTTGATCTTTCCTTTGGTGGAATACATAATTAAATATTAAAGCTACTGTGGGAAACTTTTAATGGAAGTGTTTAATTCAGAGGAATCAAGTTAAATACGACAGGGATCTACTTTGCTTTTACATCAGGGACTGGAACACTTAGTCATCAGATTTATTGTGTTTTCCTTTTGTTCCCCAAATGCTATTATTGCTCTTTCACTGTCAAATGTATTATGCTAAAGTTATCATTTTAGGGCAGTCATGCTGTCTGAATCGTGTCTTTTGTGAGAATGACATGTCCTTATAGTTACAATAATTCACTCTCCGTAAAACCAGAATAACTGACCTGGACACTTAAGTTTGAGGGGTTCCTAAGTAAATTTTAGCTGACACTTTTAAAAGAAGATCCTTGTTAAGGTTCTGAGTATCCAGTATGGAGCTGGACTCTGCCATGCTTACTGATCCTGGAAAGTAATTTGTGTTGAAATAAATTGGCAAAGGCACGTTTATTAATGCATGTGAATAGGAGAGGCACAGTTAGACTCACAGAATGCTATCACACTGTAGAGAAACAACTTCTTTATTACACTCTGAACTGTACAGCGTATTCCCTGACTTAATCCAGAGATAATTCAAGGCTATGTACATCTTTCCATCTCCTTGATATCAGGGTTTAGAAGACAAGATTGCAGCCTAGGGAGTGAAGCCAAGCAAATGGGATCTATTCCCTATTTCCTTATATTTTTATGAAAGCACTAATAAAACAAATTCTTCCATATTTTTAGGTATTTAATAGTAGCTTCCATTGCACAGATTGGACTATTTTTAGAGTAAGACACTCCTACCCTAAATAATTCTTGGCCTGAGTTTTCCAGTTTTTAAAATGGGTGTGATAATGTTCGACGAAGGACTTGAAAAGACCAATTTACCTATGTCTAAAAAGTGCTTAGTCTTCTTAGATTAAAAAAAAAATATATAGAGGAATTCAGAGAATTGTGATTCTTTCATACAAAGTGTTCTTCCAGTCTGAAGGCCTGGGAAGTGAGTGCAGTAAACTTTGCCCCCCAAGTACCGGAGCGGATAGCGTGTTCATGCCCACCTTCAGGCTTCCAGATTAGAATGTGTCGGCTGCTCTCTCTACTTTTATTGCATTCGTTACTTACTTACAAAGAAACTAAATTCACATCTTAAGCAGAAAATAAAAAAATCAAACAAGAAAATACAGTCATCGAATTATTGCCAGTAACTTTTAGCATAATCAGGAACTGAATAACTGCAGCCAGCTTAATTTACAGTGGCCAGCGAGTCAAAACCTCGAGTTCATGTAGTAGAATGGATTAAAGCACACCGAATCCCTTCCCCCTTCCAGTCTATAAAAGTCAAGGGACTTGAAAAATCACTGAAGATGTCTGTGAACCCAGCTGATGCTGAGGTGCTTTTAGTGTTCAAGGATTTGGCTTGCGCAGCAGGGAAAGGCAGAGCGTTAATGAGAGGATCATTTGTTCAGTCACTGCTGCATTGTGAGCAGCAGTTCTGAAGTGCTTCTCAAAGTTTTGTTGCAGAATAATGTTAATTGAATTCCAGTTTGTGCAAGAAGTAAGCCTAGAAGTAGCAAGCATATCTTTAACTTCTTGTTCCTGTAAGACATGGGAAAAGATGGAGACAAAGGGCAGTGACCCGTGACACTTAGGTTAGAAGGGGTCTTTCTTCACTTTAATGGGTTTGGATTGGAGCTGTGGGAGCTTGCGTAGTAAAGCTCTCCTGGATTCTCTTTCAGCGAGCAGGGTATATAATATTGTTTCTTTTCAGAGTTCTTACAATATGTAGGCAGTGCTTTAAGTTGTAAGTTATATCCCATGTAACTTAAGCTCTGATCTTGTCTGGTAGGTCTGTATTCATCATATGCGTGAGTTTTAAGCGCAGACCATGACCTTTCTGTGATCGCCCATTAGCTACCAAAGCACAAGAATCCAGTCCTTAATTTACACCCTGCTTTATGAATTCAGAGCAATAGTAGCACATACAGCACAACTGATAACATGGTGTGCAGGTGTAAATCTGGGAACCCTTTAAATCAACAGCAGTAAAAAACAGGACACAAACTCAGGCCTTGTAATGTTAAGAGCTACAGACACACCAGGGCAGAATTTGGAGGCTGAAGGAAAGTGTGAGTGCCTGGTACCCACAAATGGAAGAGTTTACAAGAAATTTCACAAGGGTGAAGGGAGCAGCAGGTGTCAGGGCCCTGAGGGCACAAACAGGCCTTAATGGTCCTGATTGGCCTCACCTGGGGCATCTCCAACCTATTTCAGCCCAGCCAGGGGCCACCACTCTCCTCTCAACAACCCAGTGGCAGTGCTGGTCTTCAACTCTGCTGCAGCCCTGCCTGGCCATGGGCCCTGCTGGACCCAACCCATCCTTGCAGAGGTGCCTGATGATCTGGACTCTTGGTTGAACTTGGCTGCCATCTCTGGTCTATCCTGTTTGCCTTGTCTGGGTGCCCTGCTGGCCCTGGGATTCCTGCCAGCTCCCTGGTCTGCAGGGAGCTGCTAGCTCTTGCTGTGCCCTGATGGCAGGGCAGAAAATAGCTTTACTGCCACCTGCTAAATAGCTTAGAAGAGTGAGCTGCAGTAATCCTCAGGAAAGGTGGCTGAAGGTGGTGAAAGCCCGGGTGAAGAAGATCCTTCTTGACTACCTCAGACAAGAAGCCCCTTCAGAGGTACTTGTCACTTTACAGCTGACCTGTGGCACTAACAACCTGGGGCTGACCCCTGGGGAGTGGATAGGCTGTACTGGCACTCACAGTTTTGGAGCTACTGAAGCCTTTTTTTCCTGCTGTCTGTTCATTGTTACTCTTCAGCTTGATTTCTGCTTGAATTGGAGCAGCTAAATAGGTTTATTGCACCCATATACTTTCTGTTAATCCCTCTGCTGACCTAAGTGGTTTTATACACCTCCTCACAGGCATGCAAAGTTGTTCAGACAACCCTGAATGAGTAAGGCTATAGGAGAGCCTCTCTGTGACTGAGATGGGCTCAAGGCTCCTGCTGTGCTGGGTGCCATGATCCTACTTTTCCCTCAGCTTGCTCCCTGGGTGCTGCCCTGCCCTCCCCTCCCCTTGCAGCCCACTGGTGGGCTTCTCTGAAGGGTATTAGCTGGGTGGCAAGCAAATGCAGACAGCATGTATGGGGGTGGGGGGCCATGGGGAAGTGTGTTGATTTTTAGGGTAAAGGGGGTGCTATTGGAGAAGGAGATCAAGTGCTAAACTCTGCAGAGCCCTCTGAAACGGAGGGAAGGAAAGCTTTGCTTCCCTGCTGCAGCCCTGGCTAGCAGGAGTGTTTCTGAGGCTGTGGCACCTTGTCTCAGGGCTGGGGTGTGCAGCATCAGCTGTCACCTTCCTCTGCAGGTTGGCTGCTGTCAGCACCTTACGACTTGGGCTTAAAACTCGAGTCTCAAGCTGTACTGGAGAGCTCTGAGCTGGGTGAGCACCCCGTGTCAAGTGAATGCAAGCCCCTCTGTGTGTCTGCTTTTGTGAACGGAGCTTGGTTTGGATCCTGTGTTGTCAGCACTAAAGCTTCAGTGACATTGGGCTGGTTACTCAAAGGTAGTTTTGCACTTGGATTTCACGAGGAATCGAGATTCCCAATGCCTGTGTGCATCTAAGAGCACAAGCTCTACTTGCTCCCATGGCTCCTAGTCTCGTTGCTTCTTGGCTGCGCTCACCCCATCCAATGCCTCTTATGAGAGGGTGCAGAGGACCCCAAATATGTATGTCATGGGCAAATGACATGCAAGCAATCTGAAGCACTTCTTTAACCAGGTGAATTTGTTGGGGCCTTTTAGCTTGGGATCCTTATGCTATAGGCTGAGTGCCTTCAAGGTGATGGGGAGGTACTCTGTCTCCCTGGGATGATAAAAGGCTGGGCAGACTGACCTAGTCACAGCTGCCCGCAGTGCTCTCCTGCTGAACAGGGAGTTTCCTGATGAAACACTGTGCTGGCTCTGAGGGCAGCCTTGTTCAGCTTGCTGTAAATCCAAGATCAGTGGGTTTTTTTGTTATTTTGCAGTGTTTTGTGACTTT